CTGCTGATTCCAAAAGAGCCCGAGTCAGCGAGAAGGGGGGGGTAGAGTGTACAGATGAAAGAGCTGAAACGCATTAAAGAAAAAACCGAATCTTATCTGGGCGGAGAACAGAATATCTACTCAAACTAAACGGTTAGAGCAGGCAGATGCGTTTAGAGAAGCAGCCATTTCCGCTGGAATTGAAGAGCTGCTGCTGCTGCGGTGCACTGAGGATGTTAAAAAAAAACCCAGATTTGACAGGATTACATAATCCAGACACTCTAAGTCACTCAGGTCTACTAGGCAGGCAACCTGCCGCCTCTGTTTTGTTCATCCACTTATCTTCCTGCCCACCATCGCGAACGATAGATTAGAAAAGCCTAACAGGACTGTAGAGTTGAGCATGCAAAGAGACTTTTCCATCGCATGGGAGCGGGTCTTTGTTGTCAAAGGGTGCTATCACGGAGGTGATAAAAAAGGAAAAGGAAAAAGGGAGAGCACGGCGCAACTGCAGACGGAGAGCTGATGCATTAAGGAGAGACTGCGTGAAATGGCCGCAGGAAAGTCACATAAAGATGAATAATACTGACAATGAGGGGTTTGCTCACAGCAGAGAGGAGGGGTGTGAGGATCTAAGACATCACAGCCATGCATTGACAGAAAATAACAGAACATGCTATAAATAGGCTGGATGTAGAGAATGGACACTATTTTTAAATAGAATTACATTGTAGTTCGGTGGGGTGTAGTTCCACGACGCAATTAAAAGAGAAATGTGCTAATTCAGCAATCTTTGTGACAAACATGCCTCGAGAAGCTTAAGCGGAGGCTGTTTTACGTTAGAAAACAAAGAATGGCCAAGAACACAGATTTCAAACTCTCTCTAAGTCTAAAAGCTGCTGCACCTGAGCGTAAAAGTGCCACAATTACGCACGGAACATCAGCATCAGTAATAGTAATAGATCTGCTACAGATGGTTGATGATATTCCAAGCAAGGACCCTCACCCAGCAGCCCCTGCTTCTCCTCACCTGTCCTTTTACGAGGCTGGCAGCAAACTGTCTCATGACGGCCTCCACCGTGTAGGCACTGGACCATCCGCGGGGGGTCAACAGCTCCATGCATATGGCCCCGCCGTCCAGCACGTAGCCGTTCTCCAACCGGGGCGTCAGGACCCGCATGAACGGCGGCGAGAAGGGGAAATTATCGGGAAAGGTGACGTTGAGCAGTATGAACTCTGTGCTGGTCTCCTTCATGTCCTGCCACAGCGCCGAGTCCTTGTCCACCTGGTGCAGCTTGACGTTCCAGTCGTACAGGTTGTCCTCCACCAGCTCCACCGTGATGAAGTTGTCTCCTAACCTCCTGATCTCCTGCAGCTCCTTCATCAGCCGTCGCGTCCGGACCTGGGTGCAGTGTTGCCGATGAGGCGGCAGCGGTGGTATCGAGGAGGCACTGGTAGCTTTACTGCCGCCTCCTCCTACGCCTCCTCCTCCTCCTCCACCGCCGCCACCACCTCCTCCCGTCTGCTGCTTTTCCTTCGCATCCTTGACCTGCTTATCCTTGCCGGACGGCTTGTCCTTGCCGTGCTGGTCCAGCTTCCTCGCTTTAATCTCCGGAGTGCTCAGGATGTTGGTCTCGTTGGCGGTCTGACAGTGTTTGCTGGTGTTGTTTTTCTGGTTTCCTTTGCTCCCCTTTAACGAGCCCTGATGGTGCTTTGGGTCCTCGGTGTCTCGGTCGTGCAGACGGATCAGACCGATCTTTCGCAGTAGGGTGGCCATAATTTTTTTTACACACTCACGTTGCTCCGCCGATCCCCCCGCACAGGGGCGAGATTCACCCTTTCGATTGTGTTCCGGGCTAAAAGAGACGACCTTTATTGATGCCGATTATTAACCTTCTTATACCGCAATCCCCCCTCCTCCGTTCACTGCAGCCTCAGGATGAACACAACCGGGGGGAGCCTGTGCAGTTCTCTCCTCAGTGCTTCATCTTCTACTAAAAGCAAAGAAAAACAGAGAGACAACAAATGAGTCCAGATGGACAATCTAATAAAACCGCTTTCCTCACACAGACCAGAGGAATCCAGTCATGTTTCCCACAAGTGGACGGACATCACGTCTGTGACTGCAGTTGTTCGGTGATAGGACGATGCGTTACGCAGAAGCACAGATGTGATCGTGTGGGATATTTTAAGAGAAAGCTGCATAGTATCCATATTACCATGTCAAAAACAAGAGGCTGTATGAGGAAAATCAAAAAGCCGCAGAGAGCAGAGGTAGAAAGAAAAAACACGCCATTGCATTTCAAGGTTGCTATAACCTGATGTAATGGACACACTGGATCCCCACAGGACATGATATAGAACAGCGACTGTGAGAGGATCAACACACACACACACACACATATATATATATATATGTAAATATGTTGACGTAACATTTTCGCTATAAGGACACACAAGCTGGTATAAACACTGGAATATGTTACCCCTCGGGCTAATTACCATGTCAACCAGATACAGGTCTCCATAAAGCCGAACCTGGGCACACTTGAAGTCCCGCACTGTGCATAATAAAACGAATTTTCCTTTATGTGTGTACTCCTGCCCACAGACAAACCCGACACTGCACACACACACACAAATTCAGCCTGTTCTTACCGTGGTCTGCTGAAATTTCCGTTTAATGTCCCGCTCTGTGTGCGTAAAAAAACGGAAGAAACAAAAATACCAAAAAAAAGGAGCGAGGGTTATACCATCCAGCTGATCCGCTGTCTGCGAGAGCTGCAGCGAGGAGGAGAAGGAGAGCCTTTGATGTGTGTGTGTGTATGTGTGTGTGCAGCTGCGGTAGCTTCGGCTTTAATGCAGCCGAGGACGAGCCAGCCCCCGGTAATCCTTCTTCAGCCGGTCTGCTCTGCACCGGCGACGTTACATTTCAAAATAAAAGCCCAGCTTGAAGCAAACCGTGTGAGATCATGTATGAAGGGGTAAAGGCACCGTGTTCCAGCTGACGAGCGCCAGGTGCAACACAAGAAATCCGATGAACAACCTCGATTTCTTATAGTCCAGCTTATCTGCTTTTCATGGTGAATTCAAAAGCCAGGGAATAAGGTGTGTGTGTGTGTGTGGCAATCCATTACAAAAATATAGGGTCGGGTTTGAGGACAGTTTTCAAGTTACTAAATATTCACATTTTTATTATTATATTCCAAATTTAGCCACTGTTATGCAATGCGCCGTATTTGTTATCACAACATTGCTTCTATTTTGATGGAAAATTGATTACTTCCTGGTTTATTCTGGCTAACTTGGTGTTCTGAGAGAGGAGAGGTTAAGGAGAAGGAAGATGCCGGGATGGTGTAACGCCTGCGTCACTGGCCTTTACTTTCACTTTATGGATGCCTTTTGTCCCCAGCTAAGTCAGCGCCAGTGTATTTTTATTCTGGGTAAAGTTGCCCTAAGCGGAGCTCAGCATTATTTCTGAGTGTAATCAGAGAAGACGAGAGTTTTTAAACAGCTTTCTTTCGCTGTCTTCTTTTTTTGTGTGTGTGTGGAATATCTGGACCATGAGGTCATAGTGAGGTCAAGAAGATTCTTGTTCTTTCGCAAAAGTTTTAGGACCACAGATTCTGCATCGATCTGTTGAATGTGGTCAGATCTTTATGTAAGGGTTAGTTTTAGACAAACAGCCTGAGTGATCAGTGACAGCTGATTCTGGAAAAAAATAGTGAACCTCTGTGCTAATGATTTCTCCAAAGGCAACTTGAACTCAGGTGTTCCAGTTAGAAAGATGAGATGAGCTTTTTTGAGAAGCTCAAGTGTAAAATGAAATTAAAGACTATTACAGTGAAACAGAACAGAGCTGTTTTCAATGGTGTTAATGGTGTTGGGATCACTGTCTTCTTCTTCTTTTGGCTGCTCCCTTTAGGTGTCACCACAGAGGCTCCATCTCACCTCATCCCAAGCATCTTTTTTTTCTTGTCACACCACCCCTCTGCATGTGCTCCTTCACTGAATCCATGAACCTCCTCTGTGGTTTTCCTCTTTTCCTGTTGCCTGGCAGCTCCATATTCAGCATCTTTTCTCCAGTATATCCACAATCCTTCCTCTGCACATGACAAAACCATGTCAGTTTTCCAAAGAAAATTATCCCCTATTATCCCCAGCGCGGCCTCCTGTCTATTTTGTTAGTTCCACTATTGGGATCACTGTGAGGAGTCAGAAGTATGAATTTTATAGGTGCATCATAAATTAAGACATTTAAAGACTGCTACTGGAAAATCTGCTCAAACCACAGAATTTCTGTGACAATATTCTGTTTACAGCTGAGACAAAAGTTTGTTTTTATTTGTTTGGAAAAAAATGCACGGCCCTTTGTTTGCATGGAAAAAAACCCACCTACCTCAAAACCTCATCACCACTGTGACGCATAGTGGAGGTAGCATTGTGATTTGAACTGCTTTGCTACCTCAGGAAGATCTGCAAGAAGTAATAGCCATTTTTTAAATGCTTATTATGGGGCTAACACAAAGACACAGATAACTATTCACACCTACAGCAAAGTTCGAATCACTAACAAGCATGTTTTTGGAAGCAAGCTGGAGTTCCCAGGGGAACACATGCATTCACAGGGACAGAAAACTCCACACAGAAAGGCCCCAGCTGACTCCAGGAAAGGCTTGCTGTGAGGCAGCACTGCTAACTGCTGTGTCAGGCTATTTTACAGCACAAAATTGAGTGTGAGTCCTTCTTACCATTAAGGAACTCTCCTATGCAGTAACAGGAAATGTTTTAAGAGTTTGTTGTTCCTAAAGACGGTTCTCTGTTATTAAAGTAGTGAGCTAAATTGCTTTTTCCAGCCTGTGCTGTGAATACTAAGTCATATATATGTAAATTGATTTGATTATTATTATTTATTTACTTTGTATTTTTGGATGCCTGGGATTTTGATATGTTTGCCTGAATATAAAGTACTTTGGGTCAGCTATTGTTGTTTTAAAAAAGGTGCATCTTTTTTGTTACTTTCAGTACCAGAATGATATGACACAGCAAAAGTACACCTGATTATTTGAGAAAATTTACAGCAATTTCAGTATAAACTGAGCTGGGCAGGTACAGTATGAACAGAGGACATTAAACATCACGAAATACACAGCACTACATGCACCGAGTAAATGTTGTGTTTACCTAGTAGTGTATAAACTGTTTAAACTCCACTAAGATAATTCATCTGGTTTTCCTCGACAAAGAAGCTAGTCTCGCGACACTTTGAAGCTTTTAGCGTCATTAAACGACAGTCTGCCATTGGTTGTTACCTAGGTAACGGAGCAATAGCCGCAGTGATTGGCTGAAATACAGCCGTAAAGCACTTCAGCGTTGAGGATGTTGTAGAGTTGTAGCTAACAGTAAACAGAGATTATCTAATAAAGACAGTAATTTAAGCGGAGGCATTTTATGTGACATTTTAGTGGTTCGGTAACGATTAATTACAATGGCGGAAAAGTTCGATAACCTCGAAGAACACCTGGAGAAGTTTATCGAGAATATTCGACAGCTGGGAATCATCGTGAGCGACTTTCAGCCTAGCAGCCAGGCAGGACTCAACCAAAAACTGTGAGATATGTTTCACTTTGCTGCTTCCATCGCTAAGATTTCGCAAATAAGCCCCGTGTTTACGTGTCCGGTCGTTTTTCTCTGCAGAAATTTCATGATATCTGGGCTCCAGGACATCGAGAAGTGCCGTCAGCAGCTTCATGAGATCAACGTACCCCTGGAGGTCTTTGAGTGAGTACAATGTGTGCCTATACTATTGTGTATGTCACCTTCTGTTACGTAAATATCTGTATTTTCGTTATATTTATTTTACTTACGGTGCAGTGCATACTAGGTGCCGACCACCGAGCTTTAATATCGCCGTTTTTGTAACTGGGCCAAACCCTATTTAAAAAGTCCTTGATTTTTAAAATGTAATCAATTGGTTGTATTTTCGTTTGCCCTACATGCTTCATATGAGTAATTCGTTATTGATGAGAGCCCCTTTTACATTCGGCATAATCTTTAAATTAATTATTTTTTCAGACCCATTGCCACAGGTGTATAAAGTCAAGCACCCAGCTGTGCAATCTGCCTTTACAAACATTTGTGAACAAATTTGTCATTCTCAACAGATAGATTAAGCGTCTCCGTGGTCAAGCAGGTGCATGCAGGCCTTACATCAGCAAACACAATAACAAACATCAGGTGAAGTGGTGTACAGCACTTAGCCACTGGACTCCACTGTAGCAGTGGAAACATGTTCTGTGGAACAAATCATGCTTCTTTCTTGCAGTCGTATAGACATCCTGATTTTGGTGAATGGCGGAAAAACAGTAACCAGCCTGATTGTTTCGTGCCAATTGTAAAGTGTAGTGGAGGAGGGATAAGATTGTGCGGTTGTTTTTCTTGGATCGGCCTGGACCCCTTAGCTCAAGTGACCGGAAATCAAAGTGCTTCAGTTTACCAGCATATTGTGGACAATTCTCCATTTCCAGCTTTGTGAAATTTTTTGGAGAAGTCCCTTTTCTGTTCCAGCAAGTCTGTGCCCCAGTGCACAAAGCCAGGCCCTCTCATCTAATATCCAAATCTGGCACACTCAAATCCTGATGGAAGCCTTCCCAGAGGAATGGAAGCATCCATAGCTGCATCCATTAATATGGAGGGCACCACCTCCATATTAATACCTGTGGATTTAGAATGAGATGTCATAAAAGCTCCTGTAGCTGTAATGTGTAGGTGGGCCAGTACCTTTGTCCTTATAGCATTTAAGTTCTATGCATTTGTTTTGATGCCGCTCTAATAACGAGGAATTTTTGATTACTAAAGTAAATACATAAACAAAAACAAAAACATCTCATTGCGTCATTAAAAATGTATCACATTTATTTGGCAAGTTCCTGGAGTTTTATCAAAGAAGGCTGATACATTGTATTTGTATTTGCAGATACATTGACCAAGGTCGGAACCCTCAGCTGTACACAAAGGAGTGTCTGGAGAGAGCCTTGGCGAGGAACGAGCAGGTCAAAGGGAAGATAGACACTTTGACGGTAAGAGATAGTTCCAGGGGCAGTGAGATTCCTCGGCCAATGACTTTTCAAGAATAAGCAGAGCCATCAGCACGTTTCACTGATTAAACAAGTGTGTTTAGAGTGTTTTAAAGATAAAGGTCCCATTTCATTGCACAAACAACCCTGTACTTGTTATACTGTTGTCTGTTAAGGCAGCCTTGTTGATCGTGATAAAATAGTATCCTTGGACAAAGTGCTTAAAAGGTTTTTTTTTCTGCTTCAGTAAAAACTCTGTCCCAGTTACTTGTTCACATAAAAAGACACGAGACAGATTTACTTTGGGCAGTACTTGTTGGATCGTAACTCACTAGTTATTCTTTATACATAAAGTATTTATACATCAACACTAAAGCAACTTCCACTGTCATGTTTCTGTTTTATTACAGAAGTTCAAGAGCCTTTTGGTTTCCGAGCTCAGCAAGGTTTTTCCAGAGGAGATGGCCAAGTATAAGGCTATACATGGAGAAGATGCCCCCTCCTAGTGACTACTGTACCATGCCAACCCCCTCCTCCGACCTCCGACCTGTGACTGTTGAGATGAAAAGCCGGAGTGAAGATTTGCCATGCAGGATGTGGCTGCCCGCATGAATGCTAATTGTTACTTTATGTATGATGTGATGCTGTCACCGATCCCGAAGGAGAGGGTGTAATTTTTGCTCGGCACCTTGATTCAGCCATTCCCCGTCCTTTCCTTACATTTAAACTTCACGTTACAAATCAAAGGCAAGGGGAAAAGAATCAGTTGCTGCAAAGGTACACATTTATTCTCTAGCCTAATATTTTTCCAGGAAAAATAAACACACTTCCAAACCTCCTGCCTGACTCTGCTTTAGGGAATTTAACCCATCAGATGTACATACAGTCTATTTATACTCCAACTCTCTATGTTTTACAAGCATCCTAAACATTGTTCAACATCTCTTTGTACCACACACAGTTCATGATGATTTGTATTAAGCTCAGGTTTCTACTGGCCGTGATAACGGAATGCAAATGCAAGGTAATTCTATGCCTGATCACTTAGGATGGTCAGAAATGAGTCTGCTCTGTATTTGTAACTTTGTATAATAACATTTGTAAATAAATGATCCTTTTGGATTTTTCGTCTTTTGTCTGTTTTGTTAGTTTGAGACATTTTGGGTCATAATTTTGCAGAAAATGTTGGAGCAAATTATGTTTTTATCTTTGAAATAAAGGCATCTTTATTGATAAATTTAAGTGTCATGAATACATTTTTTTTTTTTTTTTAGTGAAATTTTCTCATTAATCAATCAGCTGTGTGGAATTTGGCTTAAAATCCTGGGACTGCAATAAAGTACTAAAATGTGAGCAATTATGTCAGTGGGACACGTGGGTGCACCTGTTAAAGTATCAGTGACGTCTTTGGAGTCATATCAAGTATCACTTCCAGAGCATCTTATGCAACTACACGGCCTGGATAGGAGTGTCTGACTCACGTAGACATGCTGTAGAAACAGACGGGGTGTGTCATGTGGTAGGTCGCAGCCCGACACGCCTCCTCCTGCTGGGGCTTAACCACAGCGTCACGCCCTTGTGCCCCTGGAGGCCAATACTCTGAGGCTGAAGGAGGGAAATGAGCTCTGTTATTGGTTTGTGATATATGCTGCGGGGTAATGCTGCCAGCCCTCTTTCTTCGCCAGCCATCCCTGCAGATTTCTCAACACGTGTCTCATTTACTGAGGACTCAGCCTCCACTTTTTCAGGGCAGGCAGTATTGTTATGCTGAGAACCCATTTCTGTTTGGTTTCTCAGCTTAAGATTGTTGTATTTACTGTAAGAATGACTATGCAAAATGCAATTTTCTCATCGCAAATAATCATTGTTAATTCAGTTCAGTTCAGCTTTATTTATATAACACCAAAGCACAGCAACTCTGTAATCTAACACTTGGCAACAGTAGGAAGAAAAACTCCTTTTTAACAGGAAGAAATGTCACACGTGTTTGCTGAGGATATTGTAAAAACAGTAACAAACGACGAGAATACAAAGGAAAGCATTAGTCACTTTATGCCTTGTTTAGCCAGTATTAACACAACAGTAGACGGATGTTAACACAGTAAACTGTGTTGTTAAACAGATCCACTTATAATTGATATGGATGTGTCCAAGGTTAGAAACTGTTATTACAGGTCTTTTATTTTTTTACTTTTTACATTTAAATAAAAGAAAAAATGTGGCTAAGGGCTTAATTCCCATGTAATTAAATGGAATTTCACGGCATTTTATTTGCAATTTAAGTATAATTACATTCACCTACACATGCTTTTTTTTTTAATCCCTTTTTGACCTTTGTCAACTTTATTTGATAGATACAGTGGAGAGAGGACAGGAAAGCAGGGGCAGAGAGAGAAAGGGGAAGACATGCAGCAAAATGCCGCGGGTCGGTCGCTCTCAGCCATATAACTAATATTAGTTAAAATTTTAAGTAATGTCTAAGTAACTATACATGCATAAGTAGTACGTTTTGCATAGCTTAAGATATTTAACAGGAAAGGAGACACAAATTCTTGATTTCTTCTATTTTTGCAGAAAAAACAAACAATATTTCCCCATCTTACCTGGTAAGTACGCCGCAATATAGAGTGGATGAATCTCGCACATTTACATCATTGTTTAACATTCGTTACTTTAATGGTACTCGTTATAGTACCCATTTAGTAAGTAAATTTACTTAAATGTACTTACAGCATAATTTTATTTTTGTTTCTTGTAAAAACCTGAAGTGTTACCTCCTTATTCTACTGTACTACTACTGTACTTTTGTAGGTAAATATAGTTAAATTTTAATTTAAAATAAAATCAGTGAAATTTGATTTAATTATAAGGGAATTACACCCTACATCAGGGGCCGTATTATAAAGTGTTCATCTATTGAGTTTATCCAAACAGGCCCAGATTCAAAACACAGTCCACTTGAACGCCACCAATCAGCGAGCAGCCAAAGACCCAAACAGCTGAAACGTGTCCCTCCCCACAGTTCACAGTCTTCTTCCCAATAATGAATATTTCTCACCACATGATCACAGCTTGTTCTCATTTTATGAGATATGCTGAAAGCAAGTCCTAGGACCCAGCCTATCCTAACGAGGCAACACCTTCTCATCCCCGGATGTCACATAATGCAGTTTTGTCAGATGGTCCTGGCAGGGTCACTTCTGTTTGCTTTCACTTTCCCCCCAACCTGCTGCTTTGTTTCATTTTCACTTGCTTTTCAGTTCGGCTTTCATTCTCTCCTGAGGTTTTAGCACCAATAACTACTTGATTAGGAAAAGGCTGTGTAAGCCCTTTGCACCAGTAACCACTTGTGGTGAAATACGAGTCACACACTCCTGTCACTCCTGCACATCATGCACTGCTTCCTCATAACAGAGACCTTATTCATAAACTGGATTTCTTTAAGATAAGACAAAAATGCAATTTGGCCCAAACCTGGCTTATCCCCCAGGCTTTGTCTCAGTAACCCAAATGGACATCAGAAAACAACAGATGTATAGTAACTCCCTTTTCCCTGCAATTATAAAACCAAGTAGAATAACAATTGATACAGCTACATTGATAGATAATATATTCACAAATAAAATTGACTATGAAATAGTAGGTGGACTTCTTATAACTGATATAAGCGATCATCTTCCTGTTTTTGCAATTTTTCAAAATTATTTTGGGATCAAAACTAAACAAAAGAATCAAACATTTGATATGATACGACTTAGAACAACAAGAGCCATTGCTGCCCTCCAGGTGGACTTAAAGGAACACAACTGGAATGAGGTTTTTGCAAATGAAGATTCAAATAGTGCATGTGATGCATTCCTATCAACTGTAATTTCACTATATGAAAAACATTGTCCTTTAATGAAAATCACTAGAAAGCATCACAGATCAAAGAAGCCATGGATCACAAAGGGGATTTATAAGAGATTCATAAAACAGAGGACAAAAGATGCTGAAATAAAGTACAAGTTATATAAAAATAGATTAGTAAATATTATAAGAACAAGTAAGAAAGAATATTAACACATTATTGGAGCAAAGCAGAAGTAACACACAAGAAACATGGAGGATATTAAATAGTATAATCAAGAAGGGCTCAAAAAATAAGAATTATCCAGACTATTTTAAAAAAGACAAAGATATTGTGCTTGATAAAACTAAAGACATTGCAAATGAATTTAATGATTTCTTTGTAAATGTTGACTTTAATTTAGCAAAAGAAATTCCAGAGTCAAGAAATAATAACGACCTAAATAAACGTATTACTCAGATTGTGTCCTCCATGTTTATTGGTGCTGCAACTCATAGAGAAATAATTAACATTGTGAAAACATTTAAAAATAAAAAGTCCACTGACTGTTTTGGTATTGACATGATATTAGTTAAAAGTATTATAGAATATATAGTGCAACCTTTCGCACACATTTGTAATCGGTCCTTTCGAACTGGTTTCCCTCACAAATGAAAATAGCAAAAGTTATTCCAATCCATAAAAACAGAGAGA